GAGTTGAAGTCCATTGGATCAAACCTGTGGACAGAAGAACCAGTGTGTCTTGATTGGCTTGACTCTAAAGAACCTAACTCTGTGGTTTATGTCAACTTTGGAAGTATCACAGTCATGACAGCTGAACAGCTGATTGAGTTTGCTTGGGGACTTGCAAACAGCAACCAGACTTTTTTTTGGGTGATCAGGCCTGACCTTGTTGGTGGGGAAGCAGCTGTGGTTCCACCAGAATTTATGCAAGAGACCAATGAAAGGGGTCTATTGGCAAGTTGGTGCCCTCAAGAACAAGTTCTGAGCCACCCAGCCGTAGGAGGGTTCTTGACACACAGTGGTTGGAACTCTACTCTTGAGAGTTTGTGTGGTGGAGTGCCCATGATCTGTTGGCCCTTCTTTGCAGAGCAACAAATCAATTGTAGGTTCTGTTGCAAAGAGTGGGGCATAGGCATGGAGATAGAGGGTGATGTTAAAAGAAATTACATAGAGGGGCTTGTGAGAAAGTTAATGGAGGGAGAGGAGGGCAAAGAGATGAGGAAGAAAGCCTTGGAATGGAAGAAGTTGGCAAAGGAGGCCACCACTGGTCCAAATGGGTTATCTTTTGTGGGTTTGGACAAATTGGTTAACCAGGTGCTTCTATCTCCGAGGAATTAGAAATTTATAATTGATTCAAAATCTATCTTGTTTTTACTTTGTATTTGTCCAAGAAGTTTACCTATTAAGCTTAATACTGCTTCTATCACGAATTCATTTTTTAGGTATGCATTTACTTGACATCGGTACAATGTAAAATGAAGTCCAAGGCAAACGTAAGTGGCATCGGTTACCACGTTGATGCACGATACCAAAGTTTCACGGCCACGTTGTTGATCGGGAAATAATCGATGGGTTATGTGTGATAAAAGCTCCCTTTGTTACTACACCTAACATGCCTAAAGAGCTTGACAACCATGTTATTCTAACTAACTTACACTACTCTGCCTAAATTCCTGCATTGGACTTCCATACTGTGCACTCCTAGGTTAATATACCGAGATTATCTTCTTTTTACCCTCATCAAAGGAGGAGCTCTATTTGGCAAGACTAATGAAACGGTGCTCTTTTCTCTATAGAGCCGAGCTATTTCAACTCTTTCAAATTAGGCAGCAGATGTTTAACAAGGGGGTGACAGACCTGCATTGCACCCATGAACAGCGTAGGAGAGAGAGCCCAAGATAAGATAAAATAACAAGCTTCATGCAAGTGAAAGACATGAAAACAGAGGTACCGCATTCAGAAAAATTAAAGGCAAATCCCATAGAGGCATTTTAACGAACGATTCACGTGCAAACATAAACAGCCAATTCTTAATCTACCTAGTGTGAAGATCAACATTATAAAAAATACACTTCACACCAAAGTAATTACCAACACAAAAAGAAGCGTTTAACCTTATAGAGACTCAGCGCAGGCTAGCAATGGTACTCCGAGTGTGCAATGTCTGCTTCCCAAGAAAACTCCATTTCCGATAGAAATGAAGCAAATTGATGCCAATTGGTAGGGTTGTCTGTACCTACAGCCTACAGACTCTTTAACATGTTTCAATTTCTAATTTCTTTTATTTCGGATGAAATCTTTCGGGATGTTTAGCTGATAACAGTGTTCTGGATTGTTAGAGAGATTTCCTCTTCTCAATCAAAACTGATTGTGTAACTGAAGATCAGTTTTGATTCTTTGTAATTATTGCTGTTTATTACTTCTTGTAACAGTCAAACAAATCTCCTATATAGTTGTACATTGTAAACAGATTTAAATCAAGGGGAAATCATTTTCTACATGGTATCAGCCTAAGTCTAGGATCCTTACCTGTCTCCAGCATCCCTTAGCGTTCCTCTTTTTTTATTTTAAATTTCTTTCTTCCCTCTTCTTGCCCATGGCCACCTCATCTTCCTGAACTGCTCCCTCCCAAAATACTGCTCAATTCACCAAACTTACCGAAACCAATTACCTCACATGGCTTCGGCAAATCAAACCATACCTTCATGGTGCCAAACTTTGGGGATATGTTGATGGCACCAGTCCTGAACCATCTCTCACCACCATGACCACTGCCACTGACACTGAACCAGCACAATCCATTCCTAATCCTGCACATGATACGTGGTTCACCGTCGACCAACAAATCGTCAGCATCCTCACCACCACTCTAACAGAAAACATCGCACAGCTTACCATTGGTTTCGACACATCAAAGGCAATTTGGGACTGCCTTGAACACCATTTTTCCCAGAAGTCTGTAGCTAGTGCAACCTATCTCAAAATGCAACTTCTAGATCTCAACAAAGGCACTCAATCTGTTGACGAATACCTCCATCATGCCAAATCAATTGCTGATCCTTTGGTCTCCATTAACAGGCCTGTTCTTGACGACGACTTGGTCATCGCCACTCTTCATGGTCTTGGCCCCGATTACATCATGCTTCGCACTGCCCTCACTCAAAATCCTCCACTCCCTGATTTCACTGAACTTCGGGCTCGAATTCTCTCTTTTGATGCCCAACAATCTCGTCCTGCTGCTTCCCCTACGGCTACTGCTCTCTTCAATCACAGTCAAGCCTCTCCTATATAGTTGTACATTGTAAACAGATTTAAATCAAGGGGAAATCATTTTCTACATGGATCACTAACGGCACAAAAAGGAGGGAAGGGTTTTTTGAAATGAAAATGGCAGCTTATGTAACTAGTTGGTAAAATAGTGGTAATTCTATAGGTAAGCTCAACTTAGTTGGGGGATGTGATGAACACCATTGTTGTGATTCTGTGATTATTGCAAGTCTTTTGAGTCCTGAAAACTCAATCTGCTCTCCAAGATTTTGCTGCCATTTTCCAATGAAATTAAAATTCAACAATTTAAATGGTATAAGCGGTACAGGCAAAGAATGGATGGAACTTGTAACAATGTATCATCCATGCTAAACATTTTTTTGAATCTTACATCCAATGAAATCCAAGTACATGAAAAAGGATGAACGACTAAGACGTTCTCAGATCAGATGGACCAAATTACAGCTACTCTTTTTCTTCAAGGGTGAACGAACGGTCCTACGAGTGCCAAGTCGATCATAGAAAGGAGAGTGGATTGGGTGTTTTGGTTCAGCATAAGGCCATGCACGGATACAGAAATTAGAATTGATCAAAATTCTACCTGGTTGCTGCTTTGTATTTGGCCTAGTTAAACCCAAAATCGAAACAGGTTGACATACAACATACCTTGCATTCTTAGGAGAAACTAGTCAGTGTGACTCAGTGATTGGTGTTTTCAGTTTATACTCCGAGACTTGTTGCATACCAATAGAATTGCTTGTATTTGCATGTCCAAAAAGAGTGTATGTTGTCAAATCTGAAGAGTGTACTTTGTCAAATTGTGTTGCAGAATGCGCGGATGATAAATTCTTGGTTCATAAAATATACCTACTAAGGTAGCTCTAGCCCTAAAACATTAATATTTGATTTTCCTATAGTATTATTTATGTAAGAGCTATGAGGGACCAAAAAAGGTGTAAAAAAACAAAAAACAAACCCCAAAACTCTTCAATATAGAACATATAATTATCAAATCAAAACAAACAAACAAACATAAATGATTGCGTGCCAAACAGAGTATGGGAAAGAATATGAAATTGAATATTATTGACTGCCGTCCAAAACATTATAAAACCTCGTCATGGACTGTGACATATTGGACTTGAAAGTTTACTAAGTGATTGATCCCTTTTCTCTCTTTCCTATAAAACTGGTACTGCAAAAGCCTTCTCTTCTCCACAACCATATCCCATTTTCATTAGCTTTGTCCAATTTATTTGTGAGAATGGGTACTATTGGTTTGACAGAGAAGCCACATGCAGTTTGCATACCATACCCAGCTCAAGGTCACGTAACACCAATGCTTCAATTAGCCAAACTCCTCCACTACAAGGGCTTTCACATTACCTTTGTGCACACAGAATTCAACCACAGACGCCTGCTTAAATCCCGAGGTCCCAACTCTCTTGATGGCCTCCCATTCTTCCGGTTTGAAACCATTCCTGATGGCCTCCCTCCAACCGATGCCAATGCCACCCAAGACATAACTGCTCTATGCCTTTCCACTAGTAAAAATTGCTTAGCACCCTTCAGAGACCTTTTGTCAAAGGTCAATTCTGTGCCTGATTCCCCTCCAGTTACTAGTATAGTTTCTGATGGTGGCATGACCTTCACTCTTGATGCAGCCCAAGAATTGGGCATTCCGGAAGTTATTTTGGAGACACTAAGTGCTTGTGGCTTGATGTGCTACCTACAGTATCGCCCTCTCATTGAAAAGGGCTTAATGCCTCTTAAAGGTACATACACATACTTCAAATTCCAGAGTGGTCATTTGGGAACACTGACTTTGTACTAAAAATGTTACATATTTAACTAGAATCTTAACTCACTGGTACAATTTCTTAATTTGATTTGCAGATCCTAGCTATTTGACAAATGGGTATTTGGATACTGAGATAGATTGGATACCAGGCATGAGAGGTATCCGATTGAGGGACATCCCAAGCTTCATCAGAACCACAGACCCAAATGACTTCATGCTGGATTATCTATTGGTAGAGATAGCACGAGCTAAAAGAGCTTCTGCCATCATTTTGAACACATTTGATGCGTTAGATCATGAAGTTTTACATGGACTTTCGACTTTGCTACCACCTGTTTATTCCGTTGGACCCCTACATCTACAACTTAATCAGATCCCAGCAGATGACAAATTAAAGTCCATTGGATCAAACCTGTGGACAGAAGAACCAGAGTGTCTTGAATGGCTTGACTCTAAAGAACCTAACTCTGTGGTTTATGTCAACTTTGGAAGCATCACAGTCATGACAGCTGAGCAGCTGATTGAGTTTGCTTGGGGACTTGCAAACAGCAACCAGACCTTTTTTTGGGTGATCAGGCCTGACCTTGTTGGTGGGGAAGCAGCTGTGGTTCCACCAGAGTTTATGCAAGAGACCAAAGAAAGGGGTCTATTGGCAAGTTGGTGCCCTCAAGAACAAGTTCTGAGCCACCCAGCCGTAGGAGGGTTCTTGACACACAGTGGTTGGAACTCTACTCTTGAGAGTTTGTGTGGTGGAGTGCCCATGATCTGTTGGCCCTTCTTTGCAGAGCAACATGCCAATTGTAGGTTCTGTTGTAAAGAGTGGGGCATAGGCATGGAGATAGAGGGTGATGTTAAAAGAAATTACGTAGAGGGGCTTGTGAGAAAGTTAATGGAGGGAGAGGAGGGCAAAGAGATGAGGAAGAAAGCCTTGGAATGGAAGAAGTTGGCTAAGGAGGCAACCACTGGTCCAAATGGGTTATCTTTTGTGTGTTTGGACAAATTGGTTAACCAGGTGCTTCTATCTCCGAGGAATTAGAAATTTAGAATTGATTCAAAATCTATCTAGTTACTTTGTAATTGTCCAACAAGTATACCTATTGAGATTAATAATACTTCTGTCATGAAACCATTTTTCAGGTCTAATGTAAAATGCAGTCTAGGGCAAACTTAATTGACATCGGTTACCACATTGATGCACGACACGAAAGTTTCATGGCCACGTTGTTGATCGGGAAATAATTGATGGGTTATGTGTGATAAAAAAGTCCTTTGTTACTATACCTAAAATACCTAAAGGGATTGACAGCCATGTTATTCTAACTCACTCACACTAGCCCGCCTAAATTCCTGCATTGAATTTCATAAATGTGCATTCCTGGGTTAATATACCTAAGATTATGTTCTTTTTCCCCTCATCAAAGGGGAGCTCGATTTGGCTGCATCCATGTTCTTTTCTCTATAGAGCTGGGCTATCTCAACTCTTTCAAATTAGGCAGGAGATGTTTGCCGCTCGATTTCCCCACCCCTTCGCTCTATATCGATTGATCAAATGAGTTCTTTTGATAATATAAATATACAAATATTTTATTAAAAATTATGAAAGGAACGAGAACGTGCAAACAAATAAACAAACCTCAAAACTCTTCATGGAGAACACAAACAAATAAACAAACAAAGAAACTTTAGTGCATGCCAGACCCAAGTATAGTATATAGTATATACTCTCGACTGCCGTCCCAAGATTATGGCAAAATTATATACTGACAAACTTGCATTGCACCCATGAACAGTGTTTGTGTGTGTGAGAGAGAGAGAGAGAGAGAGAGAGAGTGCTGCAAATAGCCAAACTGCTTCATGCAAGTGAAAGACATGGAAACAGAGGCACCACATTTATAAAGAAGTTAAAGGGGAATCCCATACAGGCATTTTAACGAACAGCTCACGTGCAAACATAAACAGCCGACCCTTAGAGTTAGAGCTACCTATCGTGAAGATCAACAGTATCAAAAATACACTTTATACCAAAGTACTTACCAACAGAAAAACGTTTAACCTTACAGAGACCTTGTTCAGCGCAGTCTTAGCAATGCACAGTCTGCAATGTCTGCTTCACAAGAAAACTCCATTTCTGATAGAAATAAAACAAGTAGTCTTAGCAATGTACCTACAGCCTCTTTAATATGTTTTAGTTTCTAATTTCTTTTCTTTCGGATGAACTATTTCGGGATGTTTAACACTGTTCCGGATTACTAACGGCAGAAAAAAAGGAGGGAAGGGCTTTGAAATGAAAATGGTAGCTTATGTAAATAGTTGGCCAAATAGTGGTAATTTTATGAGGATAAATTACTTTTCCGGTTACCCAAATTTTATTTTCGCCGGCAAATAATTTCTTAATATGAGAGTGGCACAAAAAAATTTCCCAATTTCAAAATTCGTTTCTACCATAACTCTTCAACAATTCATTAAATTAAAATTTTCAAGATATTTGGCTGATGCTTAAAGGTTTTAATCAAGTTCCGATACAACATGCTTATTGAGAATCTAATCAAGTCGCAAATATTCTGGCTAACGCGGTCATACTTCTTCAATTATGTATGTTTGGTTTGGAAATTCTCCAATGATATTTTGCATATATGACGTTGTGATTTTATATAATAGTCTTCATATTGCAGCATCAATAACCTGTCCCTATCCCAACATAGCAAAGTATCTTCCAATCCGCTCACCACTACTTTCTCAAAGGGCACCACATGAGAAACGACGTAGAGGGGCTTGTGAGAAAGTTAATGGAGGGAGAGGAGGGCAAAGATATGAGGAAGAAAGCTCTGGAATGGAAGAAGTTGGCAATGGAGGCCACCAGCCCTAATGGCTCATCATTTGTGGCTTTGGACAAAATGATTAACCAGGTGCTTCCATCTCCAAGAAATTAGAATTGATCAATATTCTACCTAGTTTCTTGCTGCTTTGTATTTGGCCTAGTTAAACCCAAACATGGGACACAACTATTTGTGCAACATATCATGCATTCTTAGGAGAAACCATTCAGTGCGACACAGTGTTTTATGTTTTGTAGACGTCGATTAGTCAAATTTGAAGAGTTTATTTTGTTGTAATGATTCTACATCGTGAATTGATCAGATGAGTATTTTATAACATAGATATAGGACTTTTTTATCACAAATGGTCTCGAAGGTTTACAAAATTATCACATTTCGTCTTTAACGCTTTTTTTATGGCACTAATGGTCTTTAAGGTTAGCATCCACACATCAAAATAGTCTATGCCGTTAGCTTTCATCAAATCTTTTGTTAAATTACTGACATAGCACAAGAAAGCCCACACATCCAATGGTATAGAGCCCCGTGATTTTAAACAAACCTCAAAACTGTTTAATATAGAACACATAAATATCAAATCAAATCAAATAAACAAACATAAATTATTGCACGCCAAACACATTACAGAGTCAACTTGAACTATAAGGACAAATCAACTTTGTCATGAACTGTGCCTTTTTGGACTTGAAAGTTTATGGGAGTTTCACTAAAACACTCAAAATGGGGGCTGAAATTATAAAAAAACCCAACACCCAAAACACTTTATAAATACACTCAAAACTCATCATTACACACACTCAAAACCCATTTATAAACACACCCAAAAAATATACAATTGTTGATTTTGGGGTTGATTTTGGGTGTGTTTCTATGTTTAAATAGTGCTTGAGTTTTTTTATAAATACATGTCTAGAATTGAGTTTATTTATAAATTTGTAAAAGTGTATTAAGTGATTGATCCCTTTTCTCTCTTTCCTATAAAACTGATACTGCAAAAGCCTTCTCTTCTCCACAACCATATCCCATTTTCATTAGCTTTGTCCAAATTTATTTGCCAGGATGGGTGTTTTAATGAAACTCCCATAAACTTTCAAGTCCAAAAAGGCACAGTTCATGACAAAGTTGATTTGTCCTTATAGTTCAAGTTGACTCTGTAGTGTGTTCGGCGTGCAATAATTTATGTTTGTTTATTTGATTTGATTTGATATTTACGTGTTCTATATTAAACAGTTTTGAGGTTTGTTTAAAATCACGGGGCTCTATACCATTGGATGTGTGGGCTTTCATGTGCTACGTCAGTAATTTAACAAAAGATTTGATGAAAGCTAACGGCATAGACTATTTTGATGTGTGGATGCTAACCTTAAAGACCATTAGTGCCATAAAAAAAGCGTTAAAGACGAAATGTGATAATTTTGTAAACCGGGAGTTTCATTAAAACACCCAAAATGGGGGCTGAAATTATAAAAAAAACCCAACACCTAAAACACTTTATAAATACACCAAAAACTCATCATTACACACACTCAAAACCCATTTATAAACACACCCAAAAAATATACAATTGTTGATTTTGAGGTTGATTTTGGATGTGTTTCTATGTTTAAATAGTGCTTTGGTTTTTTTATAAATACATGTCTAGAATTGAGTTTATTTATAAATTTGTAAAAGTGTATTAAGTGATTGATCCCTTTTCTCTCTTTGCTATAAAACTGATACTGCAAAAGCCTTCTCTTCTCCACAACCATATCCCATTTTCGTTAGCTTTGTCCAAATTTATTTGCCAGGATGGGTTCTACTGGTTTGACAGAGAAGCCACATGCAGTTTGCATACCATACCCAGCTCAAGGTCACATAACCCCAATGCTGCAATTAACCAAACTCCTCCACTACAAGGGCTTTCACATAACCTTTGTGAACACCGAATTCAACCACAGACGCCTTCTTAAATCCCGAGGTCCCAACTCTCTTGACGGCCTCCCATCCTTTAGGTTCGAAACCATTCCCGATGGCCTCCCTCCAACAGATACCAATGCCACCCAGGACGTAACCGCTCTATGCGTTTCCACTAGGAAAAATTGCTTAGCACCCTTCAGAGATCTTTTGTCAAAACTCAACTCTTTGCCCGATTCCCCCCCAGTTACTTGTATAGTTTCTAATGGTGGCATGGCCTTCACTTTTTATGCGGCCCAAGAATTGGGCATTCCGGAAGTTATTTTCGAGACACCAAGTGCTTGTGGCTTGATGTGCTACCTTCAGTATCGCCCTCTCATCGAAAAGGGCTTAGTACCTCTTAAAGGTACATACACTGACTTCAAATTCCTGAGTGGTCATTTGGGAACACTGACTTTGTACTAAAAATGTTACATATTTAACTAGAATCTTAACTCACCGGTACTGTTACTCAATTTGATTTGCAGATGCTAGCTATTTGACAAATGGGTATTTGGATACTGAGATAGATTGGATACCAGGCATGAGAGGTATCCGATTGAGGGACATCCCAAGCTTCATCAGAACCACAGACCCAAATGACTTCATGCTGAATTTTCTGTTGGTTGAGATGGCAAGAGTTAAAAGAGCTTCTGCCATTATTTTGAACACGTTTGATGCGTTAGAGCATGAAGTTTTAGATGGACTATCAACTCTGCTACCACCTGTTTATTCCGTTGGACCCCTACATCTACAGCTTAATCAGATCCCAGCAGATAACGAGTTGAAGTCCATTGGATCAAACCTGTGGACAGAAGAACCAATGTGTCTTGATTGGCTTGACTCTAAAGAACCTAACTCTGTGGTTTATGTCAACTTTGGAAGTATCACAGTCATGACAGCTGAGCAGCTGATTGAGTTTGCTTGGGGACTTGCAAACAGCAACCAGACCTTTTTTTGGGTGATCAGGCCTGACCTTGTTGGTGGGGAAGCAGCTGTGGTTCCACCAGAGTTTATGGAAGAGACCAAAGAAAGGGGTCTATTGGCAAGTTGGTGCCCTCAAGAACAAGTTCTG